TCCTCTGCTTCCCTCAGCAGTGCCAGGGGTTACTACTCCTCATTGTCCAGCTCCACACTTTTATTTTTAAGCATTTGATTTAAGACTAAGGTTAGAGCACAGCCACCACCTTGTCCTGATGGAAACAGGATGGAAAATGGTCATAGATGGTGAAGCAGAAGAGAGCCAGAAATGCAGAGCTGGAGGGGCAGCAGTTTCTTAAAGCCAGCTCTTCTGCTGGCAGGAACACGTGCCCTGGAATAAGATGGATTTTTTACTGCATGTAATTCATATTCATTCACATGCTAGATCTGGTCACAGATAAACAAACTGGAAGGGTCCATTATTTATATGGTGTGATAAATATTTATATGAGCACTCTGCTTCAAGTCTTAAGTACATCTGCATTAAGAGGCGGAAATCAAAACAAACTGGGTTGGATCACCTTCTGTCACTACATTAGAATGAAAAATGCCAGGGAATGAGCACCTAAAGCACGGACTCATTTGCTGAACTTCTTCCTCTGCTCTTCCATTATCAGATCCCGTGAGTCAGAGAGTGCCACTGACCATCTGAGCTTCCTCAGGGTTTTGTAAACACATTCATTTTTAACTTTTACAGGGGCACAGGAGACAACTTGTATGTTAAGTGACAAGGACATTTCAGTCTCAGCAGAGTCTCAGCTTAATCCACACCCCAGGAGCAAGGCTGAGGAGCCAGAGTTCCCACGATCCTGCACCGACTCCAAAACCAAGCCCAGATTCCTTCTACCCAGGATGAGCACTTAAATTTCTTTGGGCTTTTTGTATATGTGATGGAGAAAGACAGAGTCCTTGAGGAGTCCTGGATCCTGTGTTAGAAGTCAGCTGAACATGTCCATCTCTGTGGTTCAAGGGGGGGAGATACTGTAAAAATGAATGAAGTGAACGAGTCAGGTGTCCTGAATATGAGCAAAGATGTGTTGCTTCACTAAGCAACAAAAAGGTTAATCCTTTTATATCCAAGATCTTCCTCCTCAGCCTCCTAATTAGATCACTACTTTGCACTCAGATACGTGTAGAAAAAGGCCATTTTTAAAATTACTTCTCTCAGAATAAACAAGCCACTTGGAGATGCAGGCAGAGGCAGCTGTAAACAGCAGGAAAAGGGGCCAAAGGGCTCACTTGGCTGAGGGATATTAATGGTTCATTGCTTGTAAATAGCCCTTTCCCCTGAGACCTCACCAATGCTCTGTGTATGCTCACTGCACATGCTGGCAGCAAAGTGGAGGCTTTATTAAGAGAGTTACAAACAAGGTCAAATTCTTTTAGGAGCTTTTCAGAGTTCCCAAGGCATTTAAGGAGGGCTCCAGCTGTTTGCAGGGGTTTCCCATTAAGGTCAGAGACACAAGTTCCAGCATGTTTCCAGTTAAAAGAGGATCCTGACAGATTTTCACTTTAACATGACAGCAATAGGATGGAGCTCTCCACCATAACTTTCTCTTCACAGATGCTAAGCACATTCACATAGACATTATACAAAGAGAAAGCATGTGTCTGGCATGGCATGGCATGGCATGGCATGTGAAGGGCATGTGAAGGGCAACTTGGGGATGTTTCATCACCCAAAAGCAGCACAACAATAGCTGGGTTAAAAGGACAGCAACACCAGGATATTTCAGAAACCAGCTGAGCATCTAATGTAGAATCCAGGAAATTCACTGTTAGTGGACTTCATCCCCTCAACACTTCTACAGAAGTACAAGGTCTTGCTTTTCAAGGCAGAAACAACACAAATTGAATTAGTTAACCTTACATATGCAATGCTGTTTAAAGACTATCTCTTTAAAAAAAGTTTAAAGACCATCTCTCCTGCCCATCGTAGACCTCAGCTCTTTAAAAGCCTCACTTGTAGAAGCTGTGTATTTCTAAATTCAATCCCAATGTGCATTTTGTCCACAGAAAGAAAAATGGAACCAAATTTTCTGAACTGTTTTTCATTAGGAAAGGAAGAAAATATAATCTTCACCGCTTTTGGGGCAAGTATGACTTCTTCACTCATCAAGTAGCTCAAGCTGCATGGATATAAATAATCACTGCAAACTTGTGCAGGGTCTACTTCCCAGCAAAATGCCCTTTGCCAAGGCTCAGACTTGACATAAATCATCAGTCCCATGAAACTCAAACAGAATAAATCTCCCATGTACAGAACATAGCTGGGTTCTGCCTTACAGGAACTGGATGTTGCTGCAAAGTCTGACTCATACGGTCATGTTTGTAAGATCAGCTTGTTGGGAATGTCTGGGATCAAAGGCTGCCATGGAACAGCCCTCCCCACATTGCAGGGCTGTGGAAACGTGCAGGGAAATGTTCTCCAGCTAGCAGAAGCTTTGATTTATAAATTGTGATGTTTCCACCTGCTCCTGAAGGAACAGAGCTGCCTGCTGGGCTCGGCAGGCCTGTGAGAAGAGCAGTTCTGAAGCAGGCTGGGGGACCCCGAGTGCTGCTCCCACAATCGCTCCTGGCAGCTGGGAGCACAACCTGCTCTTGTCACTGCTGTAACTGGAGACAGGAACAGGAGGTTTGCAGGGTGCCATGGGGAAAGTACAGTGTGAGGGTGCTTTTTGCTGATTTGGGTTGGATCCTACACCAGTTTCTCCTGTGAGGCCAAGAGAAGTGCAAACTGCAGCCAGAGCTGACCTTCTCATTCCTGCAGCACCAGAGCTCTGCCCCACTGGGGCAGCTCACACAGGCAGATGAAGGGGAGGCTGTGATAAGCAGAGGCTGCCTCATGCCAAGGGGATCCATGAGCTGTAGCTGAAGAAACCTGAACAACCACTCCCAAACATGACAGGGATTTAAGGGCTGGAGACAGTGAATTGGCAATGACCACCTGCTCACCCCCAATTTTCTTTTAGCTAAGCTCACCCCCGCCCCCAGGATTTGCTCAGGATTTCAGCATGCAAGGAAACATCAACAGCCGGAAACTGTCCTTCACCCTGCACACACAGTGCCCAAATGGCAGGGAAAGCCAAGGAGGTCACTGCTCCATGGTGAGTTCCTCACACCTCCTCCCCAGCCCTGCAGGGCATGCAGCCAGCAGACATTCCAGACATCCTTCCCACCCTCCCTTTGCTCCTATAGATGGGACATACCGACTCCCACAGCACCCCAGGAGCACCAGGCTGACTTAAGATACTTGAGATCCCAGCAATTCCAAACACGTCAATATTTGCTCCTGTCCAACAACTCTGTCATTTTTAGCATCTGTTCACAGCTTAAAACCTTAAGCTGGTTTTTTAGTGTAAAGTTTCCTCAGCATTCCCACCCCTGATTTGGCATTACACTATCTTGGACTGAGCCTGCTCATGCAAGTAGTTTCATTTAGGAGCTGACACTTGAGGAAAGCCCTGCCTCATCCCAGCAGCAGGCTGTGTCCTGCACTCTAGGATCTGACACCTCATTTCCTTGGGCAAACATCCCAATTTGTAGAGCTCACAAGGCCAGTTTGAGAACAGCAGGGCATACAGGTGCTGGAGATCCTATGGCACGTGCAGCCCTGATGTCAGACCCCACTGCTTGTTCTCCCTGTTTGTGCCTCTTGTCCCATTTTCTCGTCCCACATACCCTGCTCTCAGCCAGTACAAGTTTCATGATTTTGCAGCTGGGAAAAGAAAAATAAAACTTTACCCTTTGTGGCTTCATATAGAGTTTTGCTTCATGCTGACACTGAAGAGCAGGTCCCTGTGCTGGTGCCTTGTCACTGGCAAGTGCCTGTTCCTGCCCTCTCAGCAAGGACAACAGAGTGGGGTGCTCAGGTCTGCTCCAGAAACCCATCCTGATTCACTGACTTGGCAAGTTCTCACCCAGCAGCACAACCACCACAGCAACCAGTGCACAGACTCAGCCCATCCCAAACACCCCACCAAGGAGCTCCAGGCTAACCCACCATACACATCTGTTTTGGTTTCTGCTGCCTGGCACCTGGGGGACTACAGGAGCACATCCAGGAGCACTGGTCAGCTCAGGAGACCCTGCACAACTCAGCTGTGCTACAAGTGCTCAGATTTGCACAGCTACACAAGCAAGACACTCACCATGCTGCACAAATAACCTGACTGGCCTCATTCCACCTGTGGGTTTCTACTGACACCCATCATCCGAGTATCATATTGCCAAGCACTCACTTGACATGCTTCCATTTGAATTGCATTTAACTCCTTAAGGGCACTGGATCAGCAGCTGTGAAGCCAAAGATCCTCAGATACAGCTGAACAGATCCCAGCATGGGCAATAGCACCAGATCAAGGTTCCTTGTGCAGTCTCCTCTGAAGCTTTTCCCTCTCTGGAGGCAATTCCTTTGGGAAACCTGTTAATTCCCTCTCAGCTCTGCAGAGAAGAATTATGACAAATGCTGAGCACAGGATTTTGTACTGTGACTGTTGCTGTCTCTGCCACAACCTAAAATATTCAAAAGTCATTTCACATTAGCTCAAGTTCTAGTGAATGTTTTTCAATTATTTATCTTCAACTCATGACTGTAAGAGACCCTGATAGTCTGAGAGTAAATAAGATACTTGAAGGTACTGTAAGCCAACCATAACATGATGAAACTTAACAACTTGCTTTTTGAACTTGCTTTAACTTCAGTAAAAGTTTAAATGCAATGTCAAGACTTCAGTGGCTGCAGATGGTACATGACATCCCCAGATAATATGTTCCTCCATATTACAGGCAGAGGCTCAGCGGATGAACCACCACGAAGACAGAAAATTGAACAAGAAATTCAAGCATCTTCAATCATATAATCAGATGAATCTGTGAAAAGCCTGTGGCCTGGGAACTCAGCTAGGACATACAGCTGCACCTCAGTTTGGTGCTCACTGTTGGTTGACAAGGTACCACACATCAGGAGCACCACCATGGCAGGTTGCATCTCCCAGTCCTGCTTTTCTGACCAGGGTCTGTGCCAGCTCTGCTGTGGTGACAGTAAATGAAATCACCCTGCCCACATCAGCATGATCAAGCCACTCCCCTGCTTACCAATCATGGGCATCCCTAGGTTTTGGTATGGGCACTCCAGGCTGCCTCCTTGTGTCCTCCCAAAGATAGCAGAGTAAATGGCTATCACCATGCTCTTCTTACAGCTCAGCCTCAGCTTGTCATCTTCGCAGGCTACTTTACTCTTGTATTCATCTGGAAGCAAACAAACACTTAATTACTCAGCTGATCCAGAGATGGGCCCAGGGGTGCACCTCAGCTCCCAGCACAGCCCCAACCTTAGCACAACCCCAGCCTTAGCACTGCATTTGCTACAGGAGCACTTATCTCTCCCATTACACATTCCCTCTGTGGCATTATCAACACATTTAAAAATGCATTTTAATCCAGCACGTCAGTACTGTTAAATAGCCTATAATTTCATTTTGCAGACAGATAAGTGAGGAGGCATGGCATTTGAGTGTTTTCTACATGCCAATATGGAAAGGGAAGGTAAAAGCCCATCTTTAGGAACCTATCTCATCCACAAAGCAGCTCTTTGTGTGCCAGGAATTTATTCTTTTTCACAGCAACTCAAATGCAAACATAATCATGTTCCATGGCTTTTTTTTCACAGCAGTTCTTCCATGGCAGATCCAATAGAAGTTGTACTAAATTTAATAATTATGGAAGCTGCTCCTGCCTGTTGCAAACACAGATATGCAAAAGCTTGTCCCCTTCTTGAAATGGGCACTCTTACTCTTGTAAAGCTGGTACACAGAGAACAATCACTCAGCTTACTTCTCTCAAGGAGACTGGATGGTCATTTCATAACAAATCACATGTCATTCCCTTGTCTTTACCAATATTATTTGGATTATGGGAACCTCTAGAGGTCCCAACCGAGAACAGGCCCTTCCCATGTGTGCCTGCCAACATACCACAGAAAACAAATACTGTTTTGAAAAGATGAGTTTTTACAGCAAGACATTTGCACATCTGAAAGAAAGAGACTAAGAAAATGGAAGTGGCATAAAGAGACTAAAAAAACTGAAGTGGCTTGTCTATGGACATCCAGGCAACAGCCAGGAATATAACCTCAACTTCCCTGGCCTCTGTAGAGTGATTTTCCACTTCCTTATGTTATTTGCCATTTGAAATGTAGCCACAACAGCATCCAAATTGCTAAATGGGAAGGGTTTGTGCCTATGGTAAAATCCCAAGCATGATCAGTCATTTCCTCTTGAATGCCTCTACTTGTACCAGGTCAAAGTGGTGCTATAGAGCACATGAGCATCATGCACTGCCTGGGGATGCTCCTGGCCCTGTGTCACTTACTGGCATAGACATGATTTTTGTCCTTCCCTTACACAGTTCTCTGTGTATAATATCACATACACACATATATATCTATATACATCTCTATATCTATGTATATGTAAATATATATATATATATGAGAATATATACAAAGTCCATATGCATAACACTACTCGACAACTGAGAACACTAGATAATAATTCACTTATAAGTTAATCCTTATCTGTAGACCATGGCATTCAGCACTTAATGTGACATTTTTTACTGTATTGTAACTCCTTCTTAGAGATTGAGGGTGATCTTTCCAAGCTGAATCATAGAAGAATTTAGGTTGGAGGACTTTTCAGGAGGTTATCTGGTTTAATCCATGTTCAAAGAAGGGCTAAATTCTACCTTAGATTAGATTTTTTCAGAAGAAACTGCATTGAGGAAACATGTATTATACCAGAAGAGGGGCATGCTGATTCAAAAGAAACATCTGAGAACAAAATTACTTTTCATGCTCAACTTGAAAATTCCTACTTGAAGCCAAAAAATAGCCTCCTCAAAATAGCCAATTACCTGGTGATGAGAGCATTAGCTGGAATGTGAAAACCCTGTTCTGAGCTTTCAGTCCAGCTGAGAAGCTTAACCTTGGACCCTATTCTAGTACATCATTTTCCTTCACACTTTGCAGCCTTATTACAAAATCTCTGAACATTTTTAGTTTATATCCTACTGCAAAGACACTTTCAAACCTTTAAAATATTTCGTGAATGTGAAAACACTTTCTGATAGACCTCTCGAGATGAAGACAAAATTAAGGCCTCACACTTTGATGAGAGAGTCTGTGCAAAGAGCAGACATCCCTCAGCAGCAGCTACAGGGATAAACCCACAACTACTGAGTGTATGCAACAGTGGCTGGAATCAGACATAGAAGTTCTTTGCACCTTCAGAATAAACAAAGAAAGAGAAAGCTCATATACCTGTGAAGACTCAATGGTGGACATGATAGTGTCAGGTTAATTGTTGGACTTGGTGATTTTAGAGGGCTTTTCTAATCCAAATAGTTTATTGTTCTATGTCCATTTAATCTATGTAGGTATTTAATCCACAATCACCACGAAAGCATCTGAAAGATACATTGAACACACCAAGGGTTTCATCTTCACCTATAATTGTCTCCCACTGGAGTTTTGTTTCTTCTATGAGGGAAATTAAATCAAAGCTTTAACTTTTCTACAGAGTAGAAAACTTAACAGAGTATAATAAAACTTTATCCACTTAACAGAATTTATTTTTTTCCTTAGGGAAAAACACAGATTCAAGCTAAAAGCACAAAGACACAAACTCTCCAATAAGGTAAGTTATACATAATTTATGTTAAACCACTGCCATAGAAAAGAATACTTGTGTCTGGCTGAAGTGGTTGAAAAATTAAATAGGTGATTAAGTTTAGAAAAATAAGAATTTTGAAGTTTGTAATGAGAGGGTCCACTGTGAATGTCTCATTTTTTTACAGGCACTAACTCAATTTCCTCTTTCAATTTGGTTATTATTAGCTATATCTCCCAATTAACAAGTATAACTGCTTAACCACACATCCTGTGGTCTCATTTAAGGTCATTAGAATATTTATTAAATTCTGCTGACCATTCAAAGTCAGGGCTTGTCATTTGGAAACTTGCCTGGGATTTAAAAACAGAGAATATTGCATTGAGCACAGAAAACATTGGGATGGACAGACATCCACACCTTTGCTGAAGATCAGTCCAGCAGCCATGAGACAATCAACAGCAACTTGCTTCAGTTCCTAAAGGGGCTACAAGAGAGCTGGAGAGGGACTTTTCACAAGGACATGTAGTGAAAGGACAAGGGGGAATGGCCTTAAGCTGGAGGAAGGCAGGTTTATGTTGGATGTTAGGAAAAAAATTATTTACTATGAAGGTTGAGAAGCTGCGCCTGCCCCATCCCTGGAAGTGCTCAAGGCCAGGCTGGATAGGGCTGTGAGCAACCTGAGATAGCAGATGTCCTGGACCATAGCAAGTGAGTTGGATTGAGATGGTCTTTAAAGTCTTTTCCAACTCAAACTGTTCTGATACCATGATTCTATGAACAACAAAACACTGCCTCTCACCCTCGTAGCTGCCCTGGGAAGTCGTGTTCAGGGCTTACGGGGAAAGCTGCCTGATGGAAAGCTCAGGAAATCAGGCTGGGGAGGTGAACCCAAGTGCAGATTCCTTGGGAACAAGGGGAGCTCACGGGTGATGTGCTCCTGGCACACTGCCATGTGAAGTAAGAGGGTTGTGCCACATAAAACAAGTTTCACCTCACAGTCACTGAATTCTGCCCCAGGAAACACCTCCTGGAGCTGCCAGTTCCCAGGGCTCTGGCTGAGTCCACACTGGCTAGAGCTGCAGTTGTCTGGGCAGGCACAGAGAGAAGACACTGCTTTGTTAAAAGAAAGGGAAAAAAGAAATGCACAGCAGTACTTCAGTCTCCCAAAAGGTTCCCTTAAGCTTGACCACTGGAAAACAGGGAGCCTCAGTGTTTCTGGGCAACCTGATAGAAATCTGCATAAACAAACAGACAGGAAGTGATGAAATGGAGGACACAAGTCCCTGAAAGTATTTTGTACTTCATAGCATTGTCACCTCCATTTTAGCCAGAATGAACCCAAGTCAGATACTCATGGCTCCCAGGCACTGGATGACAGTAAGGATTGCTATTAAAAAAATACAGAGCTAAGCATCATCCATATATTTACTGGTACTTCCCATGATAGCCTTACATAAATATTGAAAAGAAGCAAGGCAGCATAAGTGCCATAAGAGAGCTGGGACAGGGAACAAAAATGCATTTTTCTCTCTCACTCTCCCAAGCAGAACTGGCCTCCTACAGATCACTCACAATCTGGTCCTAAGCCTCCTCTAACTGTTACAGTCTGGATATAATTCAGGCCAAATGCAAACATTTGTATTAGTGGGTTTCATGTTTCACCCTGAAAAATTAAACACGCTTAAATGGCCTCAGAAAGGTGGCAGTGATATTCAGCAAATGGCTTACTCCACTCTAATCCCCCATGCAGTCATTTGTAGGGCAACAGAGATTTACCATGATTAAGATATTTGCTAAGGATAATATCCCTTTTATTACTGCCTGGTTTCAGAGACACTGGCTTAAATATGACTCGGTAGAGAGAACCCAAGGAGGGAACAGCTGCAGGCTTTTCTAGACACGTTTTTAAAGGTCATTATATGACACAATTGTAACTTAGCTCAGACAATTACAGGAAAACAATTATAAATGTTTCTAATAGAAAAATGGTCCCTCTCAAGCAGTAAAGTCAATAAGAAGACCTTTAGTAATTATTGGATGTGTACAATAATATTAACCTGTATGACCATTAGCAATTACATTTATCCAGTATCTTAAGAACGTTTTCACTTATGGCTCACAAGAGTTTTCTGAATTATCATGATTTGGAAGCTCAAAACTAAATGTTAATTGCCTTAATCTCCATGAGACCTTAGACATAAAAGCTCCTAAAGATATTTTGCTTCTAACAAAATTATGAAATGTATCAATGCCAGAGGTTCACCTTGCCTAAAATTATATTTTTGAGCGGAAGTTGAGGACAAAATTATGAAATTTGCTAATCAAAGTATTGATACTTGACTTAATCAGTGCATAATAGCTGACCCTATTTCCCAGATCAAAGAGCTGGAAATACATGTAAAGAGAAACCTGTTTTCTTACAAAAATCCTAAAGGATTTAAATTTTAGAATTGAGGATCTGAGCAAAGAAAGTGAATTTGTAGGAAACAGAGATGATTTTCCCCAATTCTTTATCAGGTCAGGATTGTTTCCCATAGAAAACTTCCTTATATAGATTATAACTGTCAAATTAACATG